GTGGCTCACGCCTGTAATCCCAGCTCTTAGGGAGGCAGAGGCAGGAGGATAGCTTGAGCCCAGGAGTTCAAGACCTGCCTGGGCAATATAGCGAGACCTCATTCTCCACAAAAAGGAAAAAAAAAAAAACAAAAAAAGACAAAAAAAAAAATAAGCGTAGAAAATTTAGATAAAGTAGATAATTAAAAACATGTAACTCCACAACTGATTCAAGAATTTTACCCTGACTTTTCTCTAACTACTAAAGAAATTGAAGAAGCTGTTTAAATCTTTTTTTTTAATCCTCCTCCTCCTCCTCCTCCTCGAAGTTGTTTAAATCTTAAGAAAAACTAGAGCCGAGCGCGGTGGCTCAAGCCTGTAATCCCAGCACTTTGGGAGGCCGAGGCGGGTGGATCACGAGGTCGAGAGATCGAGACCATCCTGGTCAACATGGTGAAACCCCGTCTCTACTAAAAATACAAAAAATTAGCTGGGCATGGTGGTGCGTGCCTGTAATCCCAGCTACTCAGGAGGCTGAGGCAGGAGAATTGCCTGAACCCAGGAGGCGGAGGTTGCGGTGAGCCGAGATCGCGCCATTGCACTCCAGCCTGGGTAACAAGAGCGAAACTCCGTCTCAAAACAACAACAACAACAACAAAAAAAAATTCTAAGTAAAACAGAAACAGAACCTTACTCAGCCTGACAAAAAGATGTCTACAAACAGCCTAGGCAAACATCATTGTTAAAAGGGAAAACTGGGCCAGGCGCAGTGGCTCACGCTTGTAATCTCAGGACTTTAGGAGGCCAAGGTGGGCAGATCACGAGGTCAGGAGATTGAGACCATCCTGGCCAACATGATGAAACCCCGTCTCTACTAGAAATAATACGACAATTAGCTGGGCGTGATGGCAGGCACCTATAGTCCCAGCTACTCGGGAGGCTGAGGCAGGAGAATCGCCTGAACTTGGGAGGCAGAGGTTGCAGTGAGCCAAGATCACGTCACTGCACTCCAGCCTGGCTACAGAGACTCTGAAATAAAAGGAAAAACTAGGCCAGGCACAGTGACTCATAGCTGTAACCCCAACACTTTGGGAGGCTGAGGCGGGCAAATCACTTGAGGCCAGAAGTTTGAGACCAGCCTGGCCAACATGGTGAAACCCCCGTCTCTACTAAAAATACAAAAAAAAAAAAAAAAAAAAAAAAAAATTTAGCCAGATGTGGTAGTGCACACCTGTAGTCCCAGCTACTCTGGCGGCAGAGGCAGGATAACTGCTTGAACCCAGTAGGCAGAGGTTGCAGTGAGCCAAGACTGTGCCACTGCATTCCAGCCTAGGTGACAGAATGAGACTGTCTCAAAAGAAAAAAAGGGAAAACTAGATTCAAAATCAGGAACATGACAATGATGTTCACCCTCACTACTTCTATTCAATTCTTCTATTGTATGAGATCCCAATTATTATAATACATTAATAAAATGAAATTAAAAGGTGGGAGTGAAGAGAATGAACAAAATTACGATTCACAAATGTCTGTCTTCACAGAAAACTTATAAGAATTCACAAATGAAGGGCAGGCACTGTGGCTCACACCTGTAATCCCAGCACTTTGGGAGGCCGAGGTGGGTGGGTCACCTGAGGCTGGGTCAGGAGTTGGAGGAGACTAGCCTGACCAACATGGAGAAACCCTGTCTCTACTAAAAAATACAAAATTAGCAGGGTGTGGTGGCACATGCCTGTAATCCCAGCTACTCGGGAGGCTGAAACAGGAGAATCACTTGAACCTGGGAGGCAGAGGCTGCAGTAAGCCAAAATTGAACCATTGCACTCCAGCCTGGGCAATGAAGAAGGAAACTCCTTTTCAAAGAAAAAAAAACAATCTATAAATAAATTACTAGAAATAATCAGTTTTTTTTTTTTTTGAGACGGAATTTTGCTCTTGTTGCCCAGGCTGGAGTGCAATGGCGCATTCTCGGTTCACCGCAACCTCCACCTCCTAGGTTCAAGTGATTCTCCTGCCTCAGCCTCCCAAGTAGCTGAGATTACAGGCACGTATTACCATGTCTGGCTAATTTTTTGTATTTTTAGTAGAGACGGGGTTTCACCATGTTGGCCAGGATGGTCTCGATCTCTTGACCTCATGATTCACCCGCCTTGGCCTCCCAAATTGCTGGGATTACAGGCGTGAGCCACTGCGCCCGGCTGGATTTTTTTTTTTTTTTGAGACAGTCTTGCTCTGTTGTCCAGGCTGTAGTGCAGTGATGTGATCTCGGCTCACTCCAACCTCTGCCTCAGCCTCCTGCGTAGCTGGGATTACAGACGGCCGCTACCATGCCTGGCTCACTTTTGTATTTTTAGTAGAGATGGGGTTTCACCATGTTGGCCAGACTGGTCTCGAACTCCTGATCTCATGATCCACCCACCTCAGCTTTCCAAAGTCCTGGGATTACAGCTGTAAGCCACTGCACCTGGCCAATAATCAGAGTTTATACAAAAAACAGTGCATTTCTACTTCCTGCAATAAACAGAAGAATGTCTATGTTTTTAAAGACACAAAACTCTGAGATATCTAGGAATAAACCTCATGAAAATTATAGTTTTATGTATAAAACTAAGCCAGTCACCATGGCTCATGCCTCTAATCCCAGCACTTTGGGAGGCCAAGACAGGAGAACTGCTTGAGCCCAGGAGTTCAAGACCAGCCTGGGCAACACGGCAAGACTCCGTCTCTGCAAAAAACTAAAAGATTAGCTGCACATGCTAGCTTTTGCCTATAGTCCCAGCTACTCAAGAGGCTGAGGTAGAAGAATCACTTAAGCCCAGGGGGTTGAAGCTGTGATGAGCTACAATCGCCACTGCACTCCAACCTGGGTAACAAAGACCTAGTGACCCTTTCTCAAAAAAAACCCCTGGCCAGGCACAGTGGCTCATGCCTGTAATCCAAACACTTTGGGAGGCCAAGGCAGGTGGATTGCCTGAGCTCAGGAGTTCGAGACTAGCCTGGGTAACATAGTGAAACCTTGTCTCTACTAAAATACAAAAGTAATTAGCTGGGCATGGCGATGTGTGTTTCTAGTCCCATCTACTCTGGAGGCTGAGGTAGGTGAATTGAGGAGGTGGAGGTTGCAGTGAGCTGAGATCATGCCACTGCACTCCAGCCTGGGCGACAGAGCGAGACTCTGTCTCTAAAAAACAAACAAACCCCAAAATTGTATAAACTCACATGTAGAAAATGATAAACAATGCTGGAATAACTGATTGTCCATAGGGAAAAGGGTATAATTGTATCACTCATTAAAATCACTACTACATGGGCCGGGCACGGTGGCTCAAGCCTGTAATCCCAGCACTTTGGGAGGCCGAGGCGGGTGGATCACAAGGTCAAGAGATCGAGACCATCCTGGTCAACATGGTGAAACCCCGTCTCTACTAACAATACAAAAAAATTAGCTGGGCATGGTGGCGTGTGCCTGTAATCCCAGCTACTCAGGAGGCTGAGGCAGGAGAATTGCCTGAACCCAGGAGGCGGAGGTTGCGGTGAGCCGAGATCGCGCCATTGCACTCCAGCCTGGGTAACAAGAGCGAAACTCCGTCTCAAAAAAAAAAAAAAAAAAAAAAAAAAAAAAAATCACTACTACATGGATAAAAGCACTAATATGAAAAGCAACATTTTAATGCCTAGCTATTTTTTTTTTTTTTGTACTTAAAGACTGGGTTTCTCCATGTTGTCCAGGCTGGTCTCTAACTCCTGACCTCAAGGGATCTGCCCACCTCAGCCTTCCAAAGTGCTGGGATTAAAGGCATGAGCCAACGTGCCTGGTGGGGAATGATTTCTTAAACAAGAAACCCGCTAACCATTAAGGATAAGATTGATAATTTTTTTTTTTTTGAGACAGAGTTTCGCTTTTGTTACCCAGGCTGGAGTGCAATGGCGCGATCTCGGCTCACTGCAACCTCCGCCTCCTGGGTTCAGGCAATTCTCCTGCCTCAGCCTCCTGAGTAGCTGGGATTACAGGCACGCGCAACCATGCCCAGCTAATGTTTTGTATTTTTAGTAGAGACAGGGTTTCACCATGTTGACCAGGATGGTCTCGATCTCTTGACCTCGTGATCCACCTGCCTCGGCCTCCCAAAGTGTTGGGATTACAGGCATGAGCCACCGCGCCCGGCCTCATAAACATAAAATTTAAGACAGTGATTACCTCTGGGGTGAGGGAAGTGGCAGAATGGGAAAGAGGAGGAGGACACAAATATAGGCAATGTTCTAGTCCTTAGGTTTGCGTGACATACTGTGGGTGCTCATGGGTGGTTTTTTTTTTTTTTTGAGACAGAGTGTCGCCCTGTCACCTAGGCTGGAATATAGTGGCACAATCTCAGCTCACTACAACGTCCCCCTCCCTGGTTGAAGTGATTCTCCTGCTTCAGCCTCCTGAGTAGCTGGGTTTACAGGCATGCGCCACCACACCCGGCTAATTTTTGTATTTTTAGTAGAGATGAAGTTTCACCATGTTGGCCAGGCTGGTCTTGAACTCCTGACCTCAGGTAATCCACCTGCCTGGGCCTCCCAAAGTGCTAGGATTATGGGTGTGAGCCACTGTGCCCAGCCCAGGGGTGTTAAATTGTATAGCATATGTGTTATATATATTTTTGATGTGTCAAATATTAAATGATAAATAAAAAGGCATCCCCACAGATACACAGAGCTATTCACTGACACATAAGACACGTGAACATATAGCCTCATATGCGTACAAAGATTCATACGATTCCTTCAAAATGAAACAAATCTATACCCATCAACAGCCACATTCTCAAGACACACAGAGAAACACTGACATATTAACACACACACCAATTGACCCACACATTGATTCACATACATTCCTACTCAGCTCTTGACCCACAGGTGAGGGGACTCCTATGGGGGAGTACTGGACCACTGGGGTGCTGTGGGTGTTTATGGGCAACTGGACTAGTGGGTCTCCGAGAGAACACTCCCCAATCCCAGGCTCCCCAGGCACGCACCTGATTCCCGAGATACCATTTTCCGTGGGACCAGCTTCTTGATCTATGCAGAAAAGAAGCATAGGTTGAGCATCCCTAATCTAAAAATCAGAAATCCAAAATGCAGGCTGGGTGTGGTGGCTCACACCTATAATCCCAGCACTTTGGGAGGCCGAGGACAGAGAATCACTTGAGGTCAGGAGTTTTAGAGGAGCCTGGTCAACATGGCAAAAATCCCGTCTCTACTAAAAATACAAAAATTAGCTGGACATGGTGGCATGCATCTGTAACCCAGGTAGTCGGGAGGCTGAGGCAGGAGAGTTGCTTGAACCTGGGAGTCGGAGGTTGCAGTGAGCGGCGATCCTGCCATTGCACTCCAGCCTGGGTGATAGAGCGAGACTCCATCTCAAAAAAACCCCCAAAATCCAAAATGCTCCAAACTCTGAAACTTTGTGAGTGCCAACATTATGCCTCAAGTGGAAAATTCCACACCCGACCTAACTTACGTGTTGGGTCTCAGTCAAAACTTTGTTTCATGCACAAAATTATTAAAAACACTACATAAAACTACCCTAAGGCTATGGTTTAAGGTGTATATGAAACATAAATAAATTTTGTGTTTACGTTTGGGTCCCATTCCCAAACTTTATTCTTTTTTTCTTTTTTTTTTCTGAGACGGAGTCTCGCTCTTGTCCCTGCCACCTGTACTTGGCTCTGTACTTACTGGGGGTGATGGGAGTACGAAGTTGTCTGGAAAAACTCCTCTTCGTCCTTGACATTCTCCTACCCACCAGCCCTTATCCTCTGTGGTCTGGGAAAGAAACATGCCGGTAGAGAGGTAAGCCAGGTCCCCCAACGTCCTTTCTGGGGTCCCACTCCTTCTTATAGATACAATTTCAACATTTATTTTAGACTCGGGGGTACATATGCAGGTCCACCCATCCCAACACCCTCTTCCCTGGGCCCTCCCTACCCTGTTCTTCTCACACCTTGCTTAGTACTTTCACCACATCGCCCCTCCGCAGCGCCAACTCATCTGGGGCCTCAGGCTGGTAGTCAAACAGGACTCTGTAGGCCTCAGGGTGGGAGACTGGGAAGAGGTCAGTCCACTGTCCTCTGTAGCCAAGCCTCCTGCATTTGTCAGCAGCCCCTGCCTCCATCAGCCTAACTGGCCCCCCAAGTCCCAACCTTGGGAGTGGCTGAGGGCTGGGGGACCCTTTGGCTGGGTGCTCACCTGTCTGCAGGTAGTCTGGAGGGCTGTCATAGGTCAGGCTGCTCAGCTAGTGGGGGAAGGGGCAGGGAGGAACCATATGAGCCTTCAACCACCCCAAGAGAATCTTACCACCTCTATGCCCACTCTGAGACAACTTACCTTGGGAGGCCGCTGGGATTCAGGGCTGACTGAAGGCATGTCTGGGTTATCAAGGCCTGGTGGGGGACAGTGAGGTTAGGGAGGGTGCTAATTCACAGGTTAGGTCATGGGAGAGGGTCAAAGGGGTTACAGGGTCAGGATATGTGGCTCATGCCACTGGAGGGTCATTGGAGAGTGCAGTCTGGTCCCAGGGAGTCACAGGGTCACAGGGTCGAGGTCTCACTTGGGGGCCCAGTGTCCAGCAATTCCACAAAGTTGGATGGGAAGGCTCCCAGCTGCCCGTTCTTCTTCCCCAGCCACCAGCCGTCCTCAATCTGGGGAGGGGGGGAGGACGCAGGGGCATCTGGTTCTGCCCCAAGGGTCTCTAGGATAATCCTCCACCCTTGGTTCTGCCCAAGGGCCCCCTCCTCCCTCACTCCCGTGCTTCTCCGTGTCTGCGCCATCACCATTCCCACCGTACACACCCTCACCTCCCAACCCGCTCACTCGGGAGACGTGTTCCATCATATTCCCCCAAATGGTCCCATCATCTCACCCCTCACCTCCTTTATCATTTCTACGATCTCCCCAGCTTGCAGCTTCAGCTCGTCCGCCTGCTCTGGGCTGTAGTTGAAGTTCACTTTGCACCATCTTTGGGGGCCCGGGTATTTGGCAGGATGACCTAGCACCGGACAAGCGTGGGGGAACTCGAGCCGGATGCCCCAGTACGCGGAGCTGGGGGAAGCTCTGGAGGCGTGCGAGCAGCCTTTGGTACCCCCCCAACCCCGCCCCAGGGCGGAGCATTGTACTCAAGAACCAATCACAGGCTGCAGAGCGGCCCTGAGGCCCCGCCCAGATACGCCCCCGTCGCCAAGAGCTGGAGGCGCCGGGGTCGCATGGATTCCTCACGCCCGCCCAACGGCCCTGGCCCCGACCCTTGCGCTTACTTCCGCGGCGCGCGCAGCGCGGTCTCTGCGCCTCTCCGGAGCCCCGCAGGGTCTCTGGGATCTCCTGAGAATGAAGCACCGGGAGGGCGCTCTCAGCTCTTGGGAGGCGCGCGCTGAGACCCCCGCCCGCCCCTGGCTCGGCCTCACCTGCACCAGGTGCTCAGGGAAAAGGCCCTGGCGGTCCCCCAGCTCTCGGTGAAGCCAGCCCCGCGCCGGCCCCCAGCCCACCTGCCGGACCACGTCCCCGGGCGCCAGACTCAGCTCGTCCTTCTTCTGCGCGCGGTATCCGGCCAGGACCAGGACCTCTGCGGGCGCAGGACAGGGCCGGCGCCCGTCTCAGAAAGGCCCAGGCCTGGCAACCTGGCCAGGGCGGGCGTGTCCCCAGGCACCGTAGAGGGCAGGGGGAGTCGGGGTGGTGTGGGCTCTTACCGTGTCCACGGTTGCAAAGGGAAGCCACCTCAAACCCTCCGCACTTACCCATAGCTTCCGGGGCACCCTCCACAGCCTGGCAGCTCCTGCTGGCGGCCGAATACTGGGCTCACGCAGGGTGCGACGGAAAGCGTGGGGCAAAGGAGGCGTAGCCGCCAGCCGATAGGTCGGGCCAGGCGCTGGGAGTGGGTGTGGAGAGGGGGCGGCCCAGCTCAGCAGGTTAGGCCCCCGACCCCGGGGTGAGGACTCCAGGGTCTCTGGCCTGTGGAGCAGTCACAGCTCCATGGCAGGCTCTTCCCGCCCACCTAAATTTTAGGCCAGCCGCTTTCGCTCAGCTTTTGCCCGGAGGCTCCCAGCTGCAATTTGCAGCCTTCCCAGGCCCACCTTCTCCCAGCTCTCAAGCTTTTAGCTTCAGGGGAAAAGGTGGGGAGAGGCACATACCAGGGTGGGGCCCCCACCAGCAGGTAGCAACCGCTCTAAACCGGCCCTGAGTGAAGGAGATAGCTGCCCTTGTACCAGCAATAGGTTTGCTTTCCTACAAGGCATCCTCCTCTCTGGCCCCATATCCACCCTCTACCCCTATATAGGAAGAAGACAGCAAAGACCCCTGCTTTGGGGCCACAGAGGTCTAGTTTGGTTTCAGAAAACCCCTCCAGATTCTCCCTGGGAGTCAGGCAAGGAGAGTGAACTTTACGAGCTTCCAACGTTTCTGCTCATAGTTGAGCCCCCGGCCGGCAGGCGTCTGGTTAGGACCCACCTAAGGCCAGTAACATGTGGGATAGGCTCTTTTAGGTAGAACTACTAACTAACCACATCCCTTGACCCCTGCCCCACCACGGAGGAAGCCAAAGTCCTTGCCTATGACACCAGTGGAAAACATTTCTCCTGGGGTGTCCAAGGTACACAATGAAGCAAAACGACTGGGGTGGGACTGAAGCTCCTCCCAGGAACGACTGTCTGTCTGGGATGCCTCAGGACAGGGCTGAGCAGCAGCCTGCACCCAGCCCCACAGGCCCTTCATCTTTCAGGTTTCCTGAAACTGCTGTGGGAGGTTATCCACCACCCCCAACACAGACACAGACACAGACACACTCTGTCTCCCTCAGGGTGACAATGAACAGAGCCCATTTACATCTGCCACTTCATTTATTTTATTTGCAGGAGGAGTTGAAACAAATTTTAAGGGAGATTTTCATTTTCCCCCTAAACATGAATCATTCAAGTAAAACCAACTTAACTATAGAAATGTAGCAAAGTAAGGGGAAAGCAGCACAACAACCCAAGAGGCAAAGGCTGGGGGGAAGAGGTGGGTGCAGTCTGCATATAACATATGCATAAATGCCTTATGATTCACCTGCTCAGGACCGCCTCCCCAGAAGGCAAGCACAAGGGCCCATTTTAAGAGGATGTTTCCCCCCAAACATCTGAAAATGCTTCAACTTAAAACAGCTTAAGGTTAAAAAGACAAAAAAGAAAAAACTAACCAAAGAAACCCAAAAAAACCCCATGAACCACCCAGCCATAACCACCTTCCTTAATTGATCATAGGAGTTTCTTTTCATTTTATAAAAAGATTAATAAAAAATATTGAAAAAATTATTTTCTCATCTTATATTTGTAAAGATAATAGAATTCCTAAGTTTCTTAAAAAACAGACCAGACATTGCCCTCCAGTTTCCACCCCGGTGCTGGGAGGATCAGCAGGACTAGAAAGTTTGGGATACTGGAGCTGCTGGTGGAGAATGAAGTCCAGCCCAGAAGGTACCAGGAAACAGGGCACGTGAGGTGTGGTTAGGAGCAACTCCACGTGATACATGGCTGCGCAGAAAAGGGGAACACAAGGTGGTCGAAAAGGCCTTAAACTCCTCCTTGACATACAAAACTGGTTTTTACAAAGATCCAGGCAGTTTGGTCCCAAACTGAGGTGAACACTTCAAAGTTTATTCACATGCTTTGTTTTCGCTTTTAAGAATCAAAGTTTCCCAAATTAAATGTTTCTAATATTACTACATATGCCTAAAAAAAGAAAATAAAAAAAGCGGGGCTTTTAAAATCAGGACAGGGGAGAAGAGATTTAAAATTATCAAATTAGTCCTCTTAGCTCGAAATGAAATGAAATTAAGAACAAAACTGTTGGTTTCTAATAGGAAAACAAAAATCCAAGCATTGCTCTCCCACCCTACCCCTGCCCCCACCCCACACACCAACAACAAATGAGAAAAACAGCTAAAGCCCAATGCATTGTGTTCTGCTCAAGAGCTGGGCCTGACCCCCAGGCTCCATGGCCAGCCTCCTCTGTCCAGTGGGAGGCAGCGCCAGGGATGCCTTCTGTGGTGGTACAATCTGCATGGCTGGTGGGGGGTGGGGGCAGGAGTTTCAGAATCTGCTTGAGGTTCCTCTGTCTCGCTCCTCGCCAGCCATCTTCCCAGCGCCTCTCTCCCCTGGGCAGGAATCCAGTCACGAGTGGCCCCTACTCGGTTGTGGGCTGTAAATTGTCCTTCTCTTCTCGGTTCTCTGTCCCGCTCTCGTCGTCTTCAATCTCCCCTTCCTCCCCACTGAACTTGTCATGGGCCCATTTGGGGCTGGTACTTGATTTCCGGAACATGAACCGGCCCCGACCCCGAGGAAAGGCTCCTCGGCCCCGGCCCCGGCTCACCCACTTCTCACTGCCTTCACCTTCACGGTCATCATGCTGAGGGGAAAGAAAACTGCCATCAGTGCCAGAGTGAACAAGATGTGGCCAGAGCTCTCTTCTCCGCACCCACTCAAATGTGCCTTTTCTAAAAGAACCTGTAGCCTAACCCATCCTTTTGCTCCTTTTCTGCACGTCTCGCTGTCCCCACTCCAAAAATGCCTGTGGTTCAGATCCACGAGATTATCAGTTGGGTGATTTAGGAATTCTAAAGTACCAGCTTGGCCATTATGATGATGACAAGGATGATTCACTGAGCATTACCCTCAATAGTTTAAGGAAAATAAAAAATTCACTGAGCACTGAAGTAAGACATTTATATACTATCTCATTTAATCCTCGTATCTACCCTATCATTATCACCTCCCACTCTGCAAATGAGGAAACAACTTAGGAACCTTAAGCAACTCCATATGATTTACTGTATCCTCTCTCAAAGGATAGGTGTGAGAGCCAATCACAACAAAACATGAAACTCCATGTGAACTGGGTTGTTCACAACAGCTAAGAAAGGAGGCAACGTGGCCAGGCGCAGTGGCTCACACCTATAATCCTAGCACTTCGGGAGGCCAAGGCGGGCAGACTGCCTGCGCTCAGGAGATTGAGACCAGCCTGGGCAACACAGTGAAACCCGGTCTCTACTAATATATATATATGTTACCTCATGCACCTGTAGTCCCAGCTACTCGGGAGGCTGAGGCAGGAGAATTGCTTGAACCCAGGAGGCAGAGGTAGCAGTGAGTCAAAATTGCGCCACTGCACTCCAAATGCTCAGACTCCAATACTGGGGCTCTTCCTAACCCTCCACCTTCACACACTCATTTTTCATCTCCCCTGTTTTATACAAGGAGGCAGTGTGACATTCTTTTTTTTTTTTTTCCACTTAGTTCAATGAAAGCATTAACCTACATTTCAAACAATCCTTGCTCTGACAATCTCATGAGACAGAAGGAGGAATTCAATCAATATAAGAAAGCATTTTGAAAACCAGCAGTCATTACCTCATCAGCCTCATGACTTCAGGGTCTAAACCATCCCCCACACAAGCTAGGGCCTTAGGATTTTGGAGCTCAGCTCAGCAGAAGTGTCACCTTCTTCTGACTATTGCTACTTGTTCACACTAAATGAATCAGGCTGGCAATGCTCTTTCAGGTAGCAGATGGGGGCACGGGAGGCCTTTAATCCTTCCCCTACAGCAGTCCCACTCCAGCACCTAACCTTGGCCCAACCAACTACAATTCCCAGAGGTAAGTTCAAAGGCCCTCTAGTAGCCTCAAAGCAGCTTCCAGCAGCAGCAAACCTAAAAAAGGGACGGTGGGCATGCACAGCCATCCACATACAACCTGTTTCCTAGCTGTCCAACTGACAATACAGACCCATTCCAGTCATTCCGGCAAGTGATGGAGATTCAGTTGCTCCTGTACCCTGGATATAACCCTCACAGCCACACCTGCTTGGATCTTAGCCTGTTGTTACATACCAAGGCCAAGAGAGCTCACTCATGGCCAGCACTACAGCCTATAAAGTCCTAATCTGAGGGAGGCCCAGAGTGCATGCGAATGATCAACAGCCTAGATGAGACATCCCTTTCCTCAAAGAGATCCTGAGCTGTCGTTGTCATTCTTGCATGAAGGAGTGGCAGAGAGGGACAGCAGCAACAGCAAAGGGTTATGGCTCTATCCACAGGAATGGGGGAGGCGGAGGTTGGTGGTGGGTGAGGAGTAAAACAAGTTCACAAACTAAAAAGGCAAGACCAATGCTTCTTGCTTATCTTGGAATCCATAAACATCTTCAACAGATCAAGAGACCATAACTGCCTCTCTAGAGGACACCCATCTAGTTAGCACTATGCAAGTACACATGCCCCAGTGCACTATTCCTGCACATACATTTAATTGCAGTTTTGGACAAACCAATAAAGGGCTGGTAGCAGCTACTGTGTGTGTCAAAGACCCTCTGACTCTCCTTCCTGGTTATTCCAGACACATACCAAGTAATATTTCTTGCTTTTGGGTGTGTACTCTGGGTCCCACTCCTCTTCCCGGTTTCTTTTTTGAAAATCGTTGTTGCTGTTGTTGTTATTGTTCCCAGAGTAGCTGCCTCTGCCCCAGCCTCTTCCTCTGGCTCGAAACTGCTATTGCAATAAATGAGGAAAAAAGGAACAAAGGATCATGCCAGGAATGGAAACAAACCTCCCTGCTTTCTGTTCAAATGCTTTTCTGGCATGGAATAGGCAGCTATCTTCCAGACATATACTGGGCATTTGATTTCCAGCCATTTCCTTTCTCATCTCAAGTCTGTAGCCTATAGAGAGGATAAACCTGCCCCAACAGCCTCCCTACAAACAGCAGGAGTCAAGGTAAGTGGGGAAGTTCTGAAGCTGTGAGGCTGTCTAGCTAAGTGATTACGAACAGAAAAGTAACTAAAAATGGAAAGGCCAGGAAATGTGGGAAGGAGAACCAAAGATTCCAGGGTCTTTGGGTTGGATTACTTATGTCAGAGGCAACAAAACTGATATTCTGATGAAACATAATCAGAACTGACAGAAGCAATGGGCTTAGAGAAAAGGGGAGACGGGAGGGTCTTACAAAGGTTCCTCGAGCTCTGCCACCTCCTCTTTCACTTGGACCCACAAAGTCTTTGGTCCCCAGTCTTGAT